GTGAATCATGGTCAACCTCCTGCTCCTTGCTAGGATTTTGTCTAGCTGAAGCTTGTACAGATCTTGTGGCTGCAGTCACACCTGCTGAGTGCATAAGTTCAACTGCCATGAAGTGTCCAGAAAACACTGTCTTGGTGTAGTTGTTTGCCACCTCTGCCTCTACAGTATGTCCCTCCCCATCAAAAATGATCCCTGAACCCTGGGAGAAAAAGGTTTGATACAGAAGCCCCATTTAGTGCTCACAACTTCAAAGTCTCTTATTGTCTGCACCTTTACCAGAATTCTACCAGACCTTCAAAGAAGTACTGACTCCAGTACTCTTCAAAGTGTTCCACTAAGTAGAAACAGAAGGAACTTTACCAAACTCATTCTATGAGGTCACTGTCACCTTGATACCTAAACTACACAAAGTTCCAACAAAGACAGACCAATCTCTCTTATAAACACTGATGCAAAAATGCTCAATAAAATACTCACAAACTGAATCCAAGAACACATGAAAGATATCATGTACCAAGTAGGCTGCATCCCAGGCATGCAGGGGTGGTTCAATATAAGGAAATCCATCAAATAAATAAACTGAAGTGAAAAAAACCCACATGATCTTCTCCTTAGATCCCGAAAATGCATTTGACAATATCCAACACTTATTCATGTTTGAAGTCTTGGAGAGATCAGGGATACAAGGCACATACCTAAACATAATAAAGGTAATATACAGAAAGCCTATATCCAATATCAAACTAAATGAAGAGAAAATTAAATCAATCCCACTGAAACCAGGGACAAGGCAAGGATGCCCACTCTCTCCATATCTCTTCAACATAGTACTTGAATACTAGGTAGAGCAATAAGATAATTAAAGGAGATCAAGGGGATAAAAATCAGAAAGGAAGAAGTCAAAGTATCACTATTTGGAGGTGATATTATAGTATTCATGAGTGACCCCACAAATTCTATCAAAGAACTCCTCCTTCAGTTGATTAACACCTTCACCAAAGTGGTTGGATACAAAATTAACAACAACAACAAAAAATCAGTATCCCTCCTGTATACAAAAGGCAAATGGCCTGAGAATCTACAGTTTCAATGCAATTCCCATCAAAATACCAACACAATTCTTTACAAAACTTGAGAGAACAATTCTCAACTTGATATGGAAAAACAAATCAGGGTGGCTAAAACAACACTGAACAATAAAAGATGTTCTGGAGGTATCTCCATCCCTGATCTCAAGCTGCACTATAGAGCAACAGTAATAAAAATGGCATGGTTCTGGCATAGAAACAGAATGAAAGACCCAAAAAAGAAACCCACACCTACAATATTTAATTTTTTTACAAAGAAGCCAAAACATTACAATGGGAAAAAACAGCATCTTCAACAAATGGTGCTGGTCTAACTGGAAGTCCACATGTAGAAAATTGCAAATAGACCCATATTTATTGCCCTGTGCAAAACTAAAGTCCAAGTGGATCAAAGACCTCAACATAAAACCAGACATACTAAACCTGATAGAAGAAAAAGTGGGGAAGAGCCTAGAATTTATTGGCATAGGAGACAACTTCCTGAACAGAATACCAACAGCACAGGCTCTAAGAGCAACAATCAATAAATGGGACCTCATGAAACTGAAAAGCTTCTGTAAAGCAAAGGACACTGTCAACAGAACAAAACAACAGCCTACAAACTGGGAAAAGACCTTCACCACCCCTATATCTGACGGAAGCCTAATATCCACAATACATAAAGAACTGAACAAGTTAAACACCAACAAACCAAATAACCCAATTAAAATGGGATACAGAGCTAAACAGAGAAATCTCAACAGAGGAATATGGAAGAGAAACACTTAAAGAAATGTTTAAAGTCTTTAGTCATCAGGGAAATACAAATAAAAATGACCTTGAGATTTTTACCTCACTCCTGTCAGCATGGCCAAGATTGTAAACTCAAGAGACGACACACGCTGGAGAAGACGTGGAGATAGTGAAACCCTCCTTCATTTCCTGTGGGAATGTAAACTTATACAACCACTTTGGAAATCAATCTGGTGCTTTCTCAGAAAATTAGGAATAGTGCTATCTCAAGATCCAGCTACACCCCTCCTGGGCATATATCCGAAATATGCTCAACTATACAACAAGGACATTTGCTCAACTATGTTCATAGCAGCTTTATCTGTAATAGTCAGAATCTGGAAAAAAAAAACCTAGATGTCCCTCAACTGAGGAATGGATACAGAAATTGTGGTACATTTACACAATGGAATACTACTCAACAATTAAAAACAAGGAAATCACAAAATTTACAGGCAAATGGATGGAACTAGAAAAGATCTTCCTGAGTGAAGTAACCCAGATGCAGAAAAACACACATGGTATATACTCACTTATAAATGGATATTAGCCACATTTCATAGAATAAACCTAGTAAAATCTATAATCCTAAAGAAGCTAAACAAGGAGGAGGACTCTAGGGAAGATGCTTGATCCTCATTCAGAAGGGCAAACAGGATAGACATCTGAAGTGGGAGAAAACAGGGACCAGGACAGGAATCTACCACAGAGGGCCTCTGAAAGACTCTACCCAGCAGAGTACTGAAGCAGATGTTAAGACTCAGCCAAACTTTGGGCAGAGTTCTGGGAATCTTATGGAAAAAGGGGGAGACAGAAAGACCTTAAGGGGACAGGAGCTCCAGAAGGAGACCAACAGAGCCAAAAAAATTGGGTCCATGGGGGCCTGCAGAGAATGATGAATCAGCTGTGGACAATGCATGGAGAGGACCTAGACCTCCTGCTCAGATGTAGCTTATGAGCAGCTCAGTCTCCATGGGAGTCCTGTAGTAAGAGGAGCAGGGGCAGTCTCTGGCATGAACTCGAGTTGCCTGCTTTTTAGTCAACTCCCCTCATGAGGTAGCCTTACTAGGCCACAGAGAAAGAGGATTCAGACAGTCCTGGTGAGACCTGATAGGCTAGGATCAGATAGTAGGGGAGGCGATCCTCCCTTATCAGTGGACCAGGGGAGGGCAAAGGTGAGAAGAGTTGGACTGGGAGGAGATGAGGGAGAGGGCTACAGCCTGGATACAAAGTGAATAAATTGTAATAAATAACAATATTAATAAAAAATTAAAAAACAAAATGACATCACTAAAAAAGTGTGAACATATCAATATCCATTGCTCCTCTCAGTTCCCTATCTTCTTCATTATTAGAACATGTTTTGTTATTGTTTTCCAAAGCATGCCTGGATCCTGACAAGCCAGAAGAGATACTGTGCTATTAGATTCTCACCAAATTCAATCTGGCTTCCCACTGGAATCAGTCCATATGTGAGAACCACATCTTTGCAGGTACACGCATGGCGTTCTAAGTCCATCTATGTCAAAATCCTGTGCACCTCACAGGTACACATTCCTCTATATTCCTTCTTTCTAAAAGTCTCCCCAAGTCTTGTGTGTCAGGTGACAGGATAACCCTAACACCTGGTGGCTTGACTCTTGTTGAAAAGGAATTGCTCATAATTCAGGATGCTGCAGGTTCTCCAGACCTTCCTAGGCTTTTCTTTTTGTCCTGCAGATGGCAGGCTTCTCCCTCTGTCCTCAGGTCATCTTCCCTCAGTGTCTCTGATTAATGTCTTCTTTAGACACCACTGATATTGATTAATGTCCCAACATAAGCACTGTGTCCAGGAAACACCCACTATGAAGTAATTTAGGGCTAGAGCTTCTGATGTTTGTCAGAAGATATTTACCCACAAATGCCTTAATTGTGACATTGTCTTACAATCATCCTGTGGCTAACAGTGGCTGAAGAAGGATGAACATTCCTGTCTGCATTTCCTGCACTATCCAAACATAGATTTATAATGATTACAATTGTATGTGGGAAATTATTGCTTGGAGCCTAAAACCAGATAAATGCCACCTAGGGATGATTGAGTCTCCCAGGTAGATCTCACAAAGCAGCTATCCAGAGGCAACAAAAATTATTTTACTTACCTTCTGAGAAGAAGAAGAGGAGGAGGAAAAGAAGGAGTAATTAAAAGATAGGGAAAATAGATCTAAAAATTCTTTCTACGGCCAGTCTAACACTTAACACAGGTTTTCATTGCTTTATGATTTAGGGAACTAGTTATCTTATGGTAAATAATGAAATTGATTTAAGAATTAGTCGTTGATTTTCTCATATCTTGCTGATTCAAAAATGGCACTGAACTGTGAACTGATTAGGAATTGTGAAGACTAGGATTATCCTTGTGCACTTTTTTCAAAAGTGTTTACATACCATTTCAGAGTCCTCTATAATAAAGCAGTTAAGCAAGTGGGTAATGAAGATGGTCTTCCCCATCAGTGACCTGGTTTCCAGTGTAACTCATGGCTTATTAGCTGTGTGTCATACTAGTAAAAGGAAAATAATTCCCAAGAGTATTTGCAAAATTTATATGCCACATATAATCATTAGGATAATTAAATTACAAGAGTTATGAAGTCAGATCAAGTATTTTGATAGAATTACATTATAGGTACTGTTCTTACTATCATGTATGTATGTATGTATGCATGTATGTATGTATGCATGCATGTATGTATGTATGTATGTTTGTATGTATGTATAATTCCTCCTATCATGCTACATAAAAAACACTTTCTGCAATGGAAACGGTTAAATCCAAGTGTGGTTTCATCCTAAAGAATCTTCCTGGAAAAGAGGAAATGACAATTGTTCTCATGGAATTGTATCTTAAATTCTATTGCATCTGCTCCAATTTGTTTCAGCCAAAACTTTTGTTTGCGGTTTCCATAACCCTTCATATTAAGAAAGCCACTTCATTCCTTGAGGTTTTAACAACAGCCTTTTATGTCAAATTCTGATTCATTTCATTCTAGGAAAACAAAAAATGGGCCACTATTCTTTGGTGAGACCTTCAGTTCTTCTGCATAAATCTCTATGTCCACACAGTCTGAAGCCCAGGAGTCTGAGGTTGTCTGTCAACAGCACTGTATTCTTCTAGAGGCTGTGGTCCTTAGATACCTTTGTTACTGCAGTGAGTGCTGACATGTCCTTATGCTTCAGTCTGAGTCCCAACATGCAGTTGTGAGCTCACCTGGAGGATTGAATTAAGCACAATTTAGGTAACTGCTTTAACTTTATTGTCTCTATGTAAACTCCTGATATCCTTACATTCATAGTATCTGAAACTCAAACTCTGGAACTGATGCCGACTGAAGGTTAAGGCTGACACATTTAAGTTAAGGGGAAAAGAAAATTAAACCCATAACTCTCCTTTCTTCATCCGTACTCATGTTTTTACTCATTGTTATATATCTGGTGTCTGTAGTTTTCCTTCTTCAACTCCTAGTCTCATCTCATTTTTTATTACTTAATCAGGCCTGGATGAGGCTTGAGGTATGATTCATTCTGGCAAAGTTACTCCCTAACTGCAGAGCTATAAAACCACACCCACAATCTGTTCCCAGCAGAGAGGTGGAACAGACATAGATAGCATGAAACTTCCTATTCCAGGAGAGACAAGTCGGAAAGAAGAGTGGCCATGAACCTAAAGCAACGAAAACATAATATACCATTAGATTTTAGCACCAGAGAATAATTTTCTTAGCCCTTATCTGGTTTCTTCTTGTCCTACTCTCTGTGGAAGCAATATTAGCCTTTTTGACATCTTTTCCACCCCTTAATGTAAATTCTGTGGTTATTACATCAGATGTGTCTTTGGTCTACTGCATTAAACTTTTTTTTTTTATAGTTGAGGTCTATAAACAAGGAGCTTCATAAAGTCTCATAGAAACATGACTACTTTCTCATTTTCCACTGAAGTTATTGGGTGTGACCATCTGCAACCCCAAGATCATCTCCCAAAACAAGTGAACTTTTCAGAGCTTGGAGCCCACATCATCACCATGAAAAGATTACCTTTAAGGTCTCTGAGAAAGGAAGAGTGATGAGCAATGACTGCTGACACATTTCCAACACTGTCCTAGGAACTCGCAGATCTTCTCCATGGTTTCCCTTGTGTCATAAAAGAAAAAATAAAAATGAGGGCAATGAACATAGAGTTCTGAGAGAACAGAGGTAGAGAAGGGAATTGTGGCTGGAGGATGAAAAAGGGGACATGGAGAAAGAAATAGTACCATCAAATGAGAAAGCACTAATGGGGTTTAGGAATAAACAGGCAATAATGGAAGGGCAGGAGCCGCATACATCATTTGTATATTCAGTGGCCTTGCAATGTGGCTGACCTCTTCCCCCTAGAAGACAAAGACTAGGATTTCTTTTAGGGAGCAGAGGCTATTAGCCACAGGGTCTCATGTAACTCAGGTTAAGCTTAAACCTGCTTTGGCCTTGAACTTCAGGTCCTACTGCCTCCACTTCCATAGTTCTGTGGTCATCGGTGTGTGCCGCCAAACCCACTAAGTGAACTGGGAGGTTTTCTCAGTCTTTTCTTTTTGTAACATTTAAGTTGTATTTTATTTACTTCCACTGACTTATTTGTTTATTGACTTTACACCTGGATTGCAGCTCACTCTCCCCCTAGCCCACCTTCTCACACCCCTTCCCATTCTCCCTTCTCCTCAGAGAAGGAGGAGGTCTCCCATGGCTATCCACATGCCCTGGCACATTTAGTCGCTGTAAAACTTGGTGCATCCTCTTCCACTAAGGCCAGACAAGGCAGCCCAGTTAGAGGAACAGGATCCAAAGGGAAGTCTCAGAGTCAGAGAGGGCTCCTGCTACAGCTGGGGGAACCACATGAAGACCAAGCTGCACATCTGCTACAGATGTGCAGGGGACCTAGGACAAGTCTATGCATACTTTTTGGTTGGTAGTTCAGTCTTTGTGAGCCACCATGGGCCCAGCCCAGTTGACTTTGTAGGTCTTCTTGTGGAGTCCTTGACCCCTCTGACTCCCTCAATTGGTCCCCCACATCTTCCATAAAACTCCCTGAACTCTGTATGTTTGGCTGTTGATCTCTGCATTTGTTTCCAACAGAAGCTGGGTGAAGCCTCTTGGAGGAGTTATGCTAGGCCCCTGTCTATAAGCAGAGGAGATTAACATTAATAATGTCACAGATTAATTTTCTACCATGGGATGGGTCTCAAGTAGGGCCAGTCATTGGGGCCATTCCCTCAGTCTTTGCTCCATCTTTGTACTTGTACATTTTGGCAGCAAGATATATTGGATGTCCTTAACCCTCAACTTGAAGTTCTGCCTGGCTAGAGGAGGTGGCCACTTCAGGCTCCATAGTCACTGCTTTGAGGAGCCTCAGCTAAAGTGGCCTGCATAGACTTTCTGGAGCCTCCCCTATCCCAGACCTCTGGCAAATCACAGGGACACCCCCACCTCTGATTTCTCTTCTATCACATTGTCCTATCTCCCCCATTCACCCTATTCCTAATCCCCACTACTTCTCCCCAGACCCTTCTCCTACACAGTTCCTTCTATCCATCCACTTCTAATATCTATTTTATTTTTCCTTCTGGGTAAGATTCCAGCATCCTCCCTTGGGCCCTCCTCGTCACTTAGCTTCTTTGGGTCTATGGCTTGTAGCACGGTTATTCTATATTTTATGGCTAACATCCACTTATAGTGAGTACATAATTTGCATGTCTTTTTGTGTTTGAGTTACCTCACTCAGGATGGTATTTTTTTTTCTTAGTTCCATCCAGTTTTCTGCAAATTTCAAGATGGCCGTTTTTTTTTTTTTTTTTTTAATGGAGTTGTTCTCCATTGTGTAAAAGTACCACATTTTCTTTATCAGTTCTTCAGCTGAGAGACATCTACATTGTCTCTAGTTTCTGGCTATTATGAATAAAGCTGCTACGAACATAGTTGAGTAAGTGACATTATGGTACAGTGGAGCATCTTTGGGTATATGCCCAGGAGAGGTATAGCTGGGTCTTGAGGTAAAACTATTTTATATTTTCTGAGGAAGTGCTATATTAATTTCCACAGTGGCTGCACTCCCATCAGCAATGGAAGAGTGTTTCCCTTTCTCCAAATCCTTGCCAACATATGCTGTTGCTTGAGTTTTTAATCATAGCCATCTTTACTGGTATAAGATAGAATCTCAGAGTACTGTTCGATCTGTTTCCCTGATGACTAAGGACACTGAACGTTAAGTGGTTTTTGGCTGTTCAAGATTTCTCTGTTGAGAATTCCCTGTTTAAGTCTATACCCCATTTTTAAATTTGATTATTTGGTTTGTAGGTATCTACTTTCTTGAATTCTTTATATATCTGGGATATGAGTGCTCTGTCGGATGTAGGGTTGTTGAAGATCTTTACACACTCTATAGGCTGTCATTTTGTTCTATTGACAGTGTCCTTTGCCTTACAGAAGTTTTTCAGTTTCATAAGGTCCAACTTATTGATTGTTGATCTTAGAGCCTGAGCTTTTGGTGTTCTGTTCAGGAAGTTAGCTCCTGTGTCAATGAGTTCAAGGCTCTTCCCCACTTTCTCTCCTATTAGATGCAGTGCCTATGATTTTATGATGTGGTCTTTAATCTACTTGTATTTGAATTTTGTGCAGGGTGATAAATATGGATCTATTTGCATTCTTCTACATGCAGATCAGCACCATTTGCTGAAAATGCTGTCTTTTTTTTTCCATTGGATGGTTTTGGTTTCTTTGTAAAAAAAAATCAAGTGTCTGGAGGGATATGGGTTTATCTCTGGGCCCATGATTCAATTTTATTGATCAACCTACCTGTTTCTATGCCAATATCATGCCTTTTTAAATTATTATTGCTCTTTAGTACACCTGGAAATCAGGGATGGTGTTATCCCTAGATCTTTTTTTATTGTAGGGCATTCTCTTAGCTATTCTGGTTTTGTTTGTTTGTTTGTTCCTTTGTTTTTCCATCTAAAGTTGAGAATTATTCTTTCAAGGTCTATAAAGAATTGTGTTGAATTTTGATAGGAATTGTAGTGAATTTGTGGCTTGCTTTTGGTAAGATGGCCATTTTTACTATCTTAATCCTACTGATCCAGGAGCATGGGAGGTCTTCCCATCTTCTGAGATCTTCTTCAATTTCTTTCTTCAGAGACTTGAAGTTTTTTTCTTACAGATCTTTCACTTGCTTGTTTAGAGTCACACTAAGGTAGTTTATGTTATTTGTGGTTATTGTGAAGGGTGTTGTTTTCCTAATTTCTCTCTCAGTCATAAACGTAATAAAGGTACTATACAACAAGGTGAGAACCAACGTCAAATTAAATGGAGAGAAAATTGAGTGTCAGTCTCAGAAAAGACCCTGTGCCCAGATATATTTGGTCCTTGTAGAGCTCCTATCCTTTCCATATGATACTAACTCCCCTTCTTTCATATGATTCCCTGCACTCTGCCGAGGGTTTGGTTATGAGTCTTAGTGTCTGCTTTGAAACACTGCTAGGTAGAGCCTTTCATATGCCTTTTGCGGTAGACTCCTGTCATACGTTCAATGTGCATCCCATTTGTCTTTCTAAATGAGGATTGATCATCTTCACCCGTGTCCGCTTTCTTGATTATTTTCTTTAGGTGTGTAGATTTCATTATGTTTATCACATCTTGTAGGTCTATATAAGCGAGTATATACCATGTTTGTCTTTCTCCTTCTGGGATACTTCACTCAGAATGATCTTTTCTAGATCCCACCATTTGCCTGCAAATTTCATGATTTTCTCATTTTTGATTGCTGAGTAGTATTCCACTGTGTAAAAATAGCACAATTTCTGTACCCATTCCTACATTGATGGACATCTGGGTTGTTTCCAGGTTCTGGATATTACAAATAAAGCTGCTACAAACATGGTTGAACAAATTTCCTTGTTGTGTACTTGAGCATATTTTGGGTATATACCTAGGAGTGGTATAGCTGGGTCTTGAGGTAGCACTACTCCTAATTGTCTGAGAAAGCACCAGGTTGACTTCCAAAGTGGTTGTACAAGTTTACATTCCCACCAGCAATGGAGGAAGGTTCCCCTTTCACCACAACCTCTCCAGCATGTGTTGTCACTTGAGTTTTTGATCTTGGCCATTCTGATGGCCAAGGTGTAAGGTGAAATCTCAGGGTCGTTTAGATTTGCATTTCCCTAATGGCTAATGAGGTTGAGCATTTCTTTAAGTGTTTCTCTGCCATTCGATGTTCCTCTATCGAGAATTCTCTGTTTAGCTCTGTTCCCCATTTTTTAATTGGATTACTTGGTTTGTTGCTTTTCTGCTTCTTTAGTTCTTTATATATACTGGATATTAGCCCTCTGTCAGATAAAGGGTTGGTGAAGATTCTTTCCCAATCTGTAGGCAGTCACTTTGTTTTGATGATGGTGTCTTTTGCTTTACAGAAGCTTTTCAGTTTCATAAGGTCCCATCTATTGATTGTTGCTCTTAGAGCCTGTGCTGTTGGTGTTCTGTTCAGGAAGTTTTCTCCTGTGCCAATGAGTTCTAGGCTGTTCCCCACTTTTTTTTCCAACTGATTTAGAGTATCTGGTTTTATGTTGAGGTCCTTGATCCACTTTGACTTAAGTTTTGTGCAGGGTGATAAATATGGATCTATTTTCATTTTTCTGCATGTAGACATCCAGTTGGTCCAGCACCATTTGTTGAAGATGCTGTCTTTTTTCCATTGAATGGATTTGGCTTCTTTGTCAAATATGCATAGGTGTGTGGGTTTATTTCTGGGTCTTCTATGCAGTTCCATTGATCCTCCTTTCTGTTTCTATGCTAATACCATGCAGTTTTTTATTACTGTTGCCCTGTAGTACATCTTGAGATCGGGGATGGAGATACCTCCAGATGATCTGTTGTTGTACAGGATCGTTTTGGAGATTCTGGGTTTTTGTTTCTCCATATGAAGCTGAGAATCTTTTTTTCAAGGTCTGTAAAGAATTGAGTTGGTATTTTGATGAGAATTGCATTGAATCTGTAGATTGCTTTTGGCAGGATGGCCATTTTCACAATGTTAATCCTACCAATCCATGAGCACGGGAGATCTTTCCATCTTCTGATATCTTCTTCGATT